CATTTCTGTTCCAAATTCCTCATTTTTCCATAAATTATCCATTTTTGTCTCCAAACCACCTCAAAAATTCCTAATTTCGTTCATTAAATCTCCTTTTTGCATCCCAAAACAATCGTCAATTCTCTCCAAATCCGCTTTACCGCCCCAAAATGTTGGTTTTCCCCAAAATGTCCTTTTTCGTCCCAAAATGGCTTCTTTTTCACAAAATGTTGGATTTTCACCCTGATCCAGGGGGTTACTGCTGGCGGGGTGATGACACCAGGGCCCTCTGCATGGGGGACCCAGAGGCTGGCGCCTGAGCTGGGCCATGCCTACCAATATGGCTGCCGGTGCGCTCTGATCATGCCCACACGATGGCTGACAACATGGAGACCACACCCCCAAAATGTTTCCGAGACCAAGCTCCTAAGATAGCCGACAACGTGCAGCCTGCCCCATAATGATGCTGAGACCACGCCCCCAAGATGGCCGACAAAGTGTGGGTCACGCCCCTAAAATGGCTTCCAGACCACACCCTCAAGATGGCCAACAGCTCCCAGGCCGCACCTCCAAGATGGCTACAGATGTTGAGGCCCCACCCCACTGGTGAAAGTGGGTGGGCCCAGGCTGAGGCAGGCAATGGGGATTGGTGGATCCGATGGTGCTGTGCCCTGATCAGTTGGTTTGGATTTGGGAGCTGTGTATGCAAATGAGATGCAAATTAGGGCTGCAGGCAGGATCCCTGTGGGGTTGTTTGGGGGGAGGACATTATTATGTTCTTATGCCAATGAAATGTTAATCAGGGCCACACAACAGTTACTTGATAGATCCTGGAGGTATTTTGGGCTGTATTCATGCAAATGAGATTCATATCAGGGGCACAGGCAGGGTTGGGGGGGAGATGTGTTTGTGTGTGTTTGGGGGAGGAAATCAAGGGGTTCTTATGCAAATGAGATGCTAATGAGGGGATTGGTCAGGGTGAGGCTTGGACCAGGACTGAGGGGATGACATCGACCAATGATATCAATGGGATCCAATGGGATCCAATAGGATCCACTGGGACTGGGATATGCTGGATCCAGGCTCAGTGGCTGCAGGGATGATCCCAGCCCGGGATCTCTGGGATCTACCGGGATCAGGATCTTGTTTTGATCTGGGATCTCCTGCGGCCGGGAAGTGCCAGGCTGGGTTCCACTGGGGCTGGGGGCCACCGGGGTTGGAACCTATTGGGATCTGGGATCTGCTGGGATCTGCTGGGACTGAGATCCACTGGATCTAGGATCTGCTGAGGTTGGGACAGGCGCGACTGAGATGTGCTGAGGCTGGGATCTGCTGGGTGCCACCGGATCTGAGATGTGCTGGCCCTGAGATCCACAGGTGCTGGGATCTGCTGGAAGATGAATCTTCACAGCCACCCCATCAACCCCTCACAAAACCCCCAAATTTTTGACAGCCAATCCCAAAACCCCCTAATTTTCCAAGTGACACCATTGACCCCTCACAAAGTTTTGACAGCCAATTACAAAAACCCCCAGATTTGGGGGGTTGCCAAACACAACCCCCCCAAACTTTTCCAGCCACCCCATAAACCCCTCACAAAACCCCCAAGTTGTTGCAGGCAATCACAAAAACCCTAAAATTTTCACAGTGACACAATTGACCTCTTACAAAACCCCCAAACTTTTGATAACCCATCACGAAGACCCCAAATTTTCACAACCATTAAAAAAATCCTAAAATTTTCATAGTGACACCATTGACCCCTCACAAAAACCCCAAAGTTTTAGCAACCAATCTGAAAACCCCCAAAATTTTCACAGCCACCCTAGCACCCCTCACAAAACCCCAAATTTTCACAATCACAAACCCCCAAATTTTTGCCAGGCAATCACAAAAACCCCAAAATTTTCCCAGCCACCCCATCAACCCCACACAAAAACCCCAAAGTTTTGACAACCAATCACAAAAATCTCAAATTTTTGGCAGCCAATCACAAAACCGCAAGTTTTTGCCAGTCAATCATAAAAAAATCAAAATTTTTGCTGGCACCCAATTGACCCTTCTGAAAAACTCCAAATCTTTGCAGTCGCTCCATCAACCCCTCACAAAAACCCCAAATTTTCATAGTCAACCACAAAACCCCCAAATTTAAGCAGCGGCACCACTGACCCCACACAAAACCCACAAATGCTTGCAGCCACTCCATCAACCCCTCACCAAACTCCCAAATATTCTCAGCCAATTACAAAACACCAAAATTTTCACAATCACAAAAACTCTAAATTTTCTCAGTCACCCCATTGACCCTTCAGAAAAAGCCCAACTTTTCAGAGAGACCCCATCAACTCCTCGCAAAAACTCCAAATTTTTGCAGGCAGTCACAAAACCCCCACATTTTTCCAGACATCCCATCAACCCTTCACAAAACCCCCAAATCTTTGCTGCCATCCCAAAGACCCACACAAAACACCCAAATTTTCACAGCCAATCACAAAATCCCAAAATTTGCACAGCAACACCACTGATCCATCACAAAACCCCCAAATTTTTGCCAATCATAAAAAGTCAAAAATTTCCCAGCCACCCCATTGGCCCTTCAGAAAAACCCTGAATTTTTACAAGAGACCATATCAACCCCTCGCAAAAACTCCAAATTTTCACAACCAATCATAAAAACCTCAAAATTTTTGCAGTGACACCATTGACCCCTCACAAAACCCCAAATTTTCACACCCAATGACAAAAATCCCAAATTTTCAGTCATCCCATCGACCCTTCCCAAAACCCCCAAATTTTTGCCAGTCAATCATAAAAAATCAAAAATTTCACAGCCACCCCACTCACCTTTCAGAAAAACCCCAAATATTTGGAGAGACCCCATCAACCCCTCACAAAAACTCCAAATTTTCAGTCACAAACCCCCAAAATTTTCTCAGCCAGTGACAGCAACCTATCACCAAACTCCCAAATTTTCTCAGCCAATTACAAAATCCCAGCATTTTCACAATCACAAAAAATCAAAACTTTCCCAGCCACCCCATTGACCCTTCAGAAAAACCCCAGATTTTCACAGGGCCCCCATCAATCCCTCACAAAACCTCCAAATTTTCACAACAAATCACAAAGCCCAAAATTTTTGCAGTGGCACCATTGACCAAACTCCCACATTTTGTCAGTCAATCACAAAACCCCAAATTTTCACAGCCAATCACAAAACCCCAATTTTTTTTCCACAGGCACATCAATGTGGTTTGAAAGCAAAACCAGTGAGAGACTCCAAGTCAGAAATTTATTAGTAAAAGGGAAAATAAAACCAAAATATATTTAACAATCCAAAATAAAAACCACTGTCAGAGCCAGAACACAACCTGACACCCCATTGCTTGGGCTGTTGGAATTGTTTCATTCCACCTGGAATTTTGACAGATTTTGGCTGAAAAACTCCTGGAGTGGCAAGTGAGGTTCTGCTGGAGCAGGGATCCTGTGGCAAGGGTGAGATTTTGACAGGGAAGTCTCACAGATTTGTATGCTTGGCAGAAAGGTTTTTAAATGTGGAATCTGAAGAAGGAATAGAAATGAAAGCAAGTT